TCAGAAATTGGCTTTCTCAAGAAACTTCTAGTATTTAAATCTTTTCCTCACAGTGAATACTGTAACTCCAACCAGCCCTTTCTGTCTTCCTAGTTAAAATAAACAAACTCTTATCACACAAATAAAAGTCTTGTATCTCAAAACTCATTCTCCACGGCTGCCATCTGCTAGCTGTATGACAGTGAATAGTGACCAGGTTTTGGACTGTTTGCTGTTGCATATCACACGCTTGTGTATCCACCTAAATGAAGCCACTGAGGACCAATTATGAGAGATCTGTTATTCCATTTGGAATTACTCATTTGGGGATTTGATTTTTGATTTGTTTTCCTCTGAGGTTTTTGGAAGCACTAGTGGGATGAAGCTTAAATTAAATTGGGACCATCAACATCCCAAAGACAACTATTCAGTAGCACACATTTAATATTGATTGAATATGATTATGTGGGCTGCTTGTAACCACAGAAGTCTAACTAACACCACTTACACACAAAGTACTTTATATATTCATTACCAGTAATGTTAGAATATGAAGCAAACCAAAATACGGCAAAATAAGCCACACAAATATTTAGCTCTGAAAGCTACAGGAAAGTGTAAGAATTAAAAGCTGGAATTTTCAACTCACAAAGACTGCTCAGATGGATTGTTTCATCAATCACTCAAAAGTCTAAGGTGCCACTACATAAATAATTACAACATTATAGAATGTACAAAGCAAGTGACAAACCAGCAACTATGCTACCCAAAATTAATTGCTAATAAAATAAACTGCAACACCACCAGTTGTCTTTGAGGATGACCTTACATTCCTGGCCGCTTCCAGTGCCAGGCTCATCAGCCAGTTCAAATATCCTGATGAACTTTGGAAAAGAGGAATGACTGTATTAGGGCACATCACTGCTTTTTCTAAAATACCTGTTATAGCTATAATGGCAAATCCAGCAGGCAGAGGGGGCAGGAGTGAGGTGTGGTCTTCTACTATTCTGACCATACAATATAGTTATTTACAAAACCTGTATCATTCCCACATGCAAAATCTATATTGTTGTGGTTTGTGAACACATGTGGGGCCTTGTGCTAAGGCCCTGCTCCAAGCTGAGCACAGCAAAGTCCAACCAAGTTTGCTTATTTCAACAGTGCTGTTCTGGGCACAACATCAACTTGATTTACACCAAAAAAAAAAAAAAAAAGTGGGTGATAAATAAAATAGGATTGTGCAAGAGAATTTGGCATCAGCAGGTGATCGATAAGATCCCTGGAGTATTTCAGGCCACGGGGGATGTCTGTCAGAACTTTTGGCTCGAAGGAGCCACTGAGGGAAGAGCGTGGGCGCCATTTTACCTGAGGCAGAGACCACGGGCCGATGACAGCCAGGCCAGCACCCAGCCCTTCTGAGGGCAGCAGCCATTCCTCGGCACAGTCCCCGGCACCAGGGAACAGCCCCCAGCACCAGGAAACAGCCCCCAGCACCAGGAAACAGCCCCCAGCACCTGGGCACAGCCAGACCGCCACGGTGGCCAAGGGCCTGCCAAGGCGGCAGGGGGCAGCGCCCACTCTGGGCCCCTCCAAGATGGCGGCCGGCCCACAGAGAGCCCCTCCCGGCGGGACGCGCGGCCGCTGGGCGGCGATGGCGGCTGCCGCGGCGGGGGAGAGCGGGCGGCCGCCGCCTCAGGAGGCCGGGCCGCAGCCGCGGAAGCCGGCGGCGTTCCCCGGCTGCCGGTCGGCGAAGGGAGCCGTGCGAGGCGGTGAGCGAGCAGCGCCCAGCGCTGGCGGCCGATCCTTCCCCGGCTGCCGGTCGGCGAAGGGAGCCGTGCGAGGCGGTGAGCGAGCAGCGCCCAGCGCTGGCGGCCGATCCCGCAGCGGCCCGTGGAGGGCGGTCCCGGCTGGGGCGGGGAGAGGCGTCCGGCGGCTGTCGGTGCGACCGGGGCAGCGCTGCGAGGGCTCGGGGAAAACAGCTGGAAATTCCCGGTGTGCCTCCTCGCAGGATGTAAAGGAATTCCGATGTAAAGGAAGGATTTTCCATGTAAAGGAAGGATCTCCCAGCGGCAGCGCTGTGTGGAGCCGAGGGCCGGGAGGGAAGGGCAGTCATCACCTGGGCTGGTTAAAAAACACCACTTTGAAAATAGCTTTAAAAAAAAAAACCTGAAATAACACACTAATCCAAACGTGGGGAATAACCATTTCAACCTTGTGCTGGAGGAGAAATTAGCTTAGGGTTTCACATATTTACTCTACAGTCAAAACAGTCTGGCCTTAGGCTGCTGGCAGCAAAGGTCAAGAACAGATTTTAAATCAAAGGTTTTGGAAAAATACAATATTGCCATGAGACCAGAGATTTCACACTAACAAAACACATATTTTGTAACCTGTTCTTTCAGCACCTTGGTGTTGGGGACAAGATGGCCGTGTCTGGGTTCCAGTAATACAACTTTGTTACACATCTCTATTCTTTACAACATTCGACTTTTTTTTCCCAAGGCAAAACAAATCACCGAATTCTGGATGGCTGATGTCTGCACTGAGGACCGGTTTTGTCAAGCTGTCAGTAAGATCTTTTCCATGTAATAAATACCCCAAAAGATCTTTCGGTAGAGTCTCCGTTTTGAAATGCAGTTTGTTTTATCTTTGGGGTCTCCATTAAACAAAAAACAAAGTCTCACCGGTTACAGTGATGGCTCCATATCAAAGTTCCCAGCCTTTAAAATGTCACCAAATAGTTCAAAAGAATAATTTTGAAGTGTGACAGTTCACAGGAACCTTTTTTAGGCTAAATATATATTTTGTTCCCATCAATATTTTTATTTTTTTTATGGTACACAGCAATTGAAAATGTGATTGGGGAACCTGATGTGAATTTAGTATTCACTTAAAACTTTTTATTAGTAGACCTTCCTTTAGCTGGAAGCAGGTTGTGTTGATTAGTGGCACGGCTACCGCTCAGCCTCAGTCACACCAAACCCATTTACCTTGAGTGATGCAAACACCTCTAAGAATGAGGACAGACTATTAACTTCATGAGGTTACTCCTCTTATGCCAAGCAGAATAAGAATTAGCTAATTAGAAATGAAAGGTTCTGTAAAACAAACACAGAATCTAATGGGACCGCTAAGATTTGCTATAATACTCCATTTTAGTGAACGTTAATAAAATTGAATGTGTAACTTAAGTCTACAGCCCTAAAATCTATTATGCTGTCCAGGTAGAGAATCCCCTTTGCTTAAGCACAAGTGTTAATAGTTCATTTTTAATTAAACTGTCAGATTCTGATATCATAGTTTTCCTGTTGTTCACGTGATTTTAGGTATTCCATAGAAATGTGTTTTCATTTATATCGGAAAGATTTTGTATTAGATGTCAGACATTCTTTTGAAGCAGGGGCAGTGCCAACGTGAAGGAATGTTGAAGACTCTTTACTCATGTGGTGAAGAGCTTTAGCAAAGTATGTAGCACACTGGAAATATTCATTACAATGATTCACAATTACAGTTGGCATAACTAACTTTTCTGCTGCATATTTTAGTAATAGTTATTCATATTAATCCTTCCTGTGGAGTGTGTACCAAGGCTACATTTCACAGGAGTTTTTTTGAGTGCGCACTGAGGTTCAGGAAGTTCAGGAAGATCGCCTGTAAATTACAGGAGTTTTTTTGAGTGTGCACTGACGTTCAGGAAGTTCAGGAAGATCGCCTGTAAAATTCCCCATCAGCTCATCCCTGTGTTTGTGAGCCATTCCCCCAGCTGTTTGAATAACCAGGGATCAGCTGGAAATCTGATGGGAAAAAATCAAGTGGGTAGAGCACTCACAGGACTACAGCCCTCACCCAAATTGTACGAACTGTCAGCTCAACCAAATGGCGGTCTAGAAACTGCACATAGACTTTATCTGCCATAATTCCTTCAGGGTGTTACCAAGTGGAGTGGAACAGGGAGAGACAAACAGTATATTTGTATTACATTAACACTCGGCGCTGCAGTTTAACAGTAATACTGGATTCAAATCCTGCTGTGTAAGGAGCCCATGTGGATACAGCACATTTTGGCCCTTTGATGCCAAAAAGTCCAAAAACAAAGCAAAAGAGATGCAGGCCATACACGAGATGAGGTATACAATGAATAGCACATGAAAGCCAGTATTATAGCTCTTTATCAAGTTAATTATTAGATTACCTGCAAGAAAGCCCAGAGGAAGATTAAATTGGATAAAGACTAGCTGGTGATGTAGTGAATTCTCATCTCCCCATCACTGTGGAGCTCACAAACACGCAGGCAGTAGGTGCTGTCTCTGCTCAGGTGTTGTGCTGATGTGGCAAAGCTACGCTGTGCCAGGGCACTCACTGCAGGTTAAGGGTGTCCCAAGTTAATTTATAGCAAGCTGGGCACCGAGCACTCGCTGGAATATCTCTCACGTTAATTTCCCCTGACAGACAACTAATGTTTCAACTATTCCTAGTAGAATTGAGCACCAACTGAGTACAGGTCTTTGCAGCCAGAGCTTAACACCAGAGCATTAGAGCTGCCATTTCCCCTTTCTGTTTATATTTCCCCCTTCTTCACTTTCCCACGTGAAGTGCCCAAGAGCTTCTCACACGTGATGCAACACAAAATTCCATCAAATTTCTTTTTTGTCTTTTCCCTCAAACTTGCTCCTTCAGAAAGAACAAGGGGAAAAATGCTTCTGTACGCAAACAACATTACAATAAAGTGTCTTCAAACTCATAGGTAAGCTTAATTTCAGCCAGCACGTCCCCTACTCACCACTTCAGGAAACCAAAAAAACACATTCAACATTTCCTGCTCACCTTCTTTCTCCATCAGATAAATCCTAAGTATTATTACAGTAGTGTTTCTCAGCTTCAAGATCAAATTAGCAACGCAACCCCCTCAAAAAGGAACAAACCCACAGGAATCAATGGGCGATCTCGTATTGCACCTCTAGTGGGTAATTAGCAGAGAGAAACAGGATGAACGTGATCATACTTTCACTAGGTAAACAAAGTTTATCCATAAAATAGATTTATTGCTAAATGTAGTTCAAAGTATCAATAGAAATTGTGCACACCATTTGTTCTTTCATTCATTAAGGACACGGATCTTTGAAAATACGATTCTGACTAACGAGCTGTGTTAAGTGGCTCTTGGATTCATGGTTTGTTGCTATTCTAGTGAAAGAGCTGGACTCAGAAGGTGATGAAAGAAAAGCTTCAGTGCTTTTGCACTTAGATATCAGTTTCTCAACATAATCTCTAGGACAATTCTCGATTTATTTATTTATTTACTTAAATGATTTCAAGCTTTTTAAGAGCCTGCCTGAAGTAGATTTTGTCATCACAAATGGATGAAGGATTGGGATCAAGGATGCAGAGCTCCCAGTTAGGGAACTTCACTATAAAGTACTCTTCAAAAGTATTCTGAAGTGCATAGATAAAAAGACTGCACCACTTCCAACCACTCAAGTATTTAATTCAAATAACGCATCATTTACTTGCTCTAATAAAGCAGAGAGCATGTCAAAACGTGCAGAAACAATTGATTCGTTTTTTCTTGGAACCTTCACTTGAAAACCTTTCTGGCTAAGTTTTACCAATTTAACTGCGTCCATCCAGTTAGTGAAAAAATAAGTAAAATTATTCTAATAAATATTTCAAAATAGATCACAAAATACAGCTTTCTTCCAAAACCAGGTTCACGTACCAATTTCAAGATTGAGGGTCAACAACGGTTCTTACAACAAACCAGAGAATTCATTGTAGAACAGGCACCCTTTCTTCAAAAGGTTTCAGGACTATATTTTTTTTAAAGTAGTCTTTGTTGCTAGGCAGAAAAGGAAAGTCATTTAAAAATAAGGTGAATCCAGTAGACACCCAGAGAAACAGCTCCATCACTGCACAAACCAACGTATGTTTTAGTACCCAATCTTCTCAGTTCAGAGCCTTGTTCAGGACTTTCTGCAGTTTGATAGCAAATTAACAGCTCTCGTAGGCTAACGAGGGAACTTGATTAACACAATACTAGTTGATTTGCCCAACTGAAAGGCAAGTTACATGTTCTTTCCCTTCAATGTGGGTTTTCCTTCAACAGCAACAGTCATAACTTGACTTTGTCTTTGTACCAGAGTATGTGGAAGAACTATTTAGCTTGTATTTTTGGCAGAACTCCTCTTCAAAAAAATCACTCAGCACACATTGATTGTACTCAACAAAAATCAAAGCAATGCTTTGCAAATCCCTGGAAATATTCCATTCTGAATTTCTAAGGCTGTTCTTGCTTTGGGTATGATGAACAAATTGTCTTAGAACAGTTCACACTGTACATATAGTTGGCAGGAAGGATTTTTAATCTTCTTGGTGGAAGATGGTAGTTTCATCATTTTAGCTCCAAGAAAAATACTAGAGCTCCAATTATTACTTGATACGTAATTTCCAATTTCAAGCCACATGTGTTTAAAATTTCTTTTTGCTAATTCATTTAAGCAGTGTTATCACAACACTACACAGAGTGATGGAAAAGTCATTCAGTGTTTTGAAAGAATAAAAAAAAATACAAGATGAACAAAAAACTCCTAAACACAAAACAATAAATGCAACTCAGCACAAGGTAGGGAGTAGAGCAGCCTTGAATACACAATACTCCACAAACAGATTCCTCATTACTTAACAATCATAACAAAACTGTGCCAGAACAAAGATTTGCCACAATAGTTGGCTTTTTCAGAGGTCAAAAATAAAGTTAAGTTGTGAGTGATTATTTATTATTTATTCTTTTTCCACATTGTTTGCCTTCCTGGGAATGAATATGGTTTAGGGGCATTTATTTTTTCACCGTTTCACAAAGCACAGGCTGAGCATTGGTGATGGGAAAGGAGGAGTCTGTCAACTTTCACCCGAGCGTCCCTGTTGAGATGCAGCTGCCCAAGCACAGCACAGCTCACTTCTCTGCATTCTTGTGAGCATTAATTATCTGCCGCCGTATCGCCTGGTTCCTGGCCCTGTTTTCTTCATACTGGAAGAGAGATAAGGAAATTAAAAAAATCAGCTGTTATCATTGAACAGATAAGTTGCATTTAAAAATGTAGAGAGCGTTTATTGCTCATGAACAGAAACAGTATCTTTGACTGATGCATTAGAAATGCAGTTCTCGTTAATATCTATATATTGGTTCATTTTTACTTTGAAGTTAACATTTATTTGATAAAATGCATGCTTTTAAGTTTGAAGGTATTAAGCTAAAGAGTATAAGAACATACTAATAAAGAAGATTCAGTTAATCTCATGGAGAAACTTAATTATTTAATGCAGCCTGTTACGTGCGACAGCTACACTTCACACATGAACTAGGAAAAAGTTGGATGGGTGCTAGTCTGGAGCACAGGTCAGGCTCTTTTCCTTTCAAAAAATCCTGATTAATCTAAGTGTGTCTGCCTTCTGAAACATGAATTTGTCATCACAGACTTGGTCTAGTTTTGATCCTGGTCGTTAATTATATGCACAGATAAAGTAGTATACCAAGATGAAAGGAACAAAGGCAAATTTTGGTTGAAGGAGGGTAAGGCGTTTTGCGGGTGTTTTTTTATGGTTTTAAAAAAACATGCAACAGAGATGGGACTCCAGTGTAAAAGGGAATCACAAAAAGCTTCACATTTTAGACACATGCATAAGATGACCATGTTTTCAAGTATGCCCCTGCACTACCAAAGCCTGAAGACTGAGGAGCCTAACCTTGTTTCATTGCAGCCAAAAAGGAAACCTTTTCATGGCTTAAAGAAATGAAAAATTAAAAATCAATGCATGATTTGGTATATATTTCACGAGAAGCAAATTATTCTTGGCCTTAAGTTAGAGCATATCCTTGTTCAATTTTTTAGTAATTGGTATCAAGAATAAAAACCAAGTAACCCATAAATACTCATTTCTCTATGTAATGTAATAAAAACTACTAAGCAGATTGATTTTAGAAAGGATTTGCAGTTTTTCACTCATTATGCTGATTGGTTGTTAATGGAAATAATGGCCAAAACCATTACTTAACATTTACAGAATGCTTAACTTTTCCCCATACCAATATTTAATTTTTCAATAACTCATCCGTGTTTTTACACAGAATGCGAACAATGGATCTTTGAAAGCTGGATCTGAACCTATTCTGTACTTGTGAACAGCCCTTCAGGGGTTTCCCAGTAATGGCATATCAATGTAGCCATATTTTAAGAAGGCAGATAAATATAGCCATCAAGAACTCCCTTTAATGTAAAGGCTTCAATGGAACAAAGAAAAATAAGATGACACAGAGAGACACTTTACTTCGTTATTTTCTAGATCTGTGCAACAGGTTTTACAGGGGGAAAAATGGTATTTGACATGAGCAGATGAAATTAATGCCCAGAGACTGACAGAGGCCCAAACTGTCCTGGCTGCCACGCACTTAAAGTTTCCCTTTTTAGACACGATTGTGAAATTTATGTCAAAATTATTAAGTACAATTTCAAGTTAAAAGGTGTGTGAAATGTTCATTTATGTGTTCTCTCTTGTAGGCACGAAAACTGCAAATATAAAGACCAGTTGATACCCTGGTGAAAATGTGCCCGTTAACTAGTTAATCTGCTTGAACTCCTAAAAAAAAAAAGGTCAGAAAAAAAATCAGAAGCAACCTCTGAAGTGTCAGTTCCTATTTGCAGTATTTGTTTGGTTAAAATTTGTTTGCTTGTTTTTCTACACCCAAAAATAGATCATGCCATTTCTTAAAGCCAGATTTTACCTGACAAATTTATCAAAATAATTTAAATTTGGTCTCAAATGCCCACTCCAGAATGTGCTTACATTTCAAGGCCTGCTTATTGATTTGTACTACTTACTAAAAGCCACTCTTTCTATTCAATGGACTTTTTTTATTATTATTATTAAGCATTTAAGTCATAATAGATTTGTTTCTTACCTCTTTCTTTAAGCACTTCCGCATCTCACGGTCAATATCATTGCAATGGCCAAAAAATTTCAAAATGTTGTGCTGATAAGTTAGGGAAAGAAAAGAAGATTTACAATTCAAATGTTTCTTCCTCTGAAGGTCTAAATTCCTTAGAAGTCACTTGCATTTTGCAACATATCCTGTTCTTCTTTTCCTTTTCTCTTTTTGTGAAAAACGATGCTTTCTAACTTTTTAACTGAGTAGCTAGGAGTTAGAGCTCATTTCAACCTCATTTGAGCCACTTTGGCCTTGCTGAAAGTTGAAGGTACTCTCCACGTTGTGTAACCGGACTAAAATAGGATACCTAGGCAGAAGCTATGAAGTCTACATGTAGAACATACATTTTATTGATCTAGGAATCAGCCTTACCGCTTCAGTGAGTTCAATCTATGTATATTTAGCCAGATTTCTAAGTTGTCAACTTTTTGGTTCAGATTACGAGGAAAAAAGGATCAGTTTCTCAAAAATAGTTATTACGCCTATTAACAGTGCTATGAGTGCAAGACAACATGCATTTCTTTCAGCTGCTACCTATAAAAATAAGTCTCTTTAAAGCACATACTCAGCACCAGGGTGGCGATAAAAAAAAAGACATAAAAATAATGTCATCAAACAGGAAACCCAGTGACCTCTCCTCACTAGATGCAAAACTTTATACAATGGGCAGGTTCTAGATTAGGAATAAAGTAAATCAAAGTGACTTTTGTGAAAATGCACACACAGGACACCCAATTAAAACAAAAATAATACTTCATATTAGTTCAACTTGTACATCGAGGTTCTTAGGCCATTTTGGCACTGTAAAAAAAGAGCAGGTACTCACTGATAATTGATTAAGATCACTAATTTTTCAGACTTCCATGGCTTTTTAAAAGAATATTTCAGTACATTCCCCTTGACTTTTAAATGGAATGGTATTGCCTCCTTTCAACTGAGTGTGAAAGAAGCCACCTTCACCCTTTCTGCTCTGAGATCGCCAGCACAATAGTTGAGCAGAAGATGGACAAAAGTAATTCCTCTTCATGTAAAGATAAATTTCAAACAAAACCATGAGAATATAATCCTGTGCATGACTGTATTAGTGCTGCTCCTGGTCCCTTCCTAACTCAAACTGGCAATAGATTCCTTTGAATCACTTGCTGCCAAGGAATTTAAGTACACCTTTTAGTTCCAATTGACTCTTCAACTCAAAGTAGTCTAATAAACCACATTATACAAAAATCTTATGATGCTTATACATTAACATTCATTTTTATAAAACAAAACAGTCAACCATTACTTTAAACAATAAATGGGTATTTCTGGATTCTCTGGTCAAAGCATAGAAAGCCCAACTATGTATATACCGATAAGCAGGACAAATCTGAGTGTATTTTCTTTTCTGATTGGCTTTGTTTTCACAATTATGAAAAGTTAATGACAACATTTTAATTTTATATTGCCTACAGAGGTTTTATTCTCCTCTTAACTGACAGTCATTTTATTTGGCAATCCTTTTGATACCATAATATTTAATGTACAAGGAAAGTCTTCTCACTTAATTCTAGCTACTGAACACTTGTAGCTACATTATAGCATTAAAGTTGTTTCCAAAATAGAAAAACAACTAATAAAAGGGAAAGAAAATAGAAAAACAACTAATAAAAGGGGAAAAAAAAAAAGATGAAAGGAAAGTCTTTACAATCTCTCAAATTATCTAAAGCATTTTTAGGCAAATTAAAATTTTAGAATGCAGAAGGAAAACATAACTCTTACACTTAATATAACCTTCAGATTTAAAGCTTGGTGATGTTCTGTACAAGAACTTTGTACCTTAGATTTAAAAAATACAGACAGTGCATAGGAATAGATAAGCAATAGTATAGGAAGCACCATATATGAGATGGCACCAGCAAATTCCAGCACACTTACATTTCAAGATACTGCACTACAAGTGCCAACAGAATTAAATTAAAAGTTGCTGAACAAACTCAGTACAGTATGTTCACTGGAAGTGAATTTTAGTATTAAAACTTTGCTCCCTTCATTGCTGTAATTTAGAAATGATAAGAAAGTGTGGTACTACAGAAGTTTTTTTGATACATTAGTTAAGCTACTTTAAAATCTGCGAAAATCTTTCATGCAAAACATCTCTTTCATTTCATGTATTATCAGCCTTGTTTTTCTTTCTATAACAACTTTTGCAAACAAAAATGCACAGTTCTGCTCAAAACAGTAAAACTACTATATGTATTGTCTTAGAATTTATGGGTAACTGCATTATTAAAAAAATTATAAACATCACATCTGAACATAGAAGTGAAAATATTGTAGATTGCATGTAACTGTAAACCATTGTTTTCACATTCATATTTAACATTTAAATATATATTTGTCTCAGTGGAAACTATGAAATTGACCTTTTATGCAGCAATACAGAAATATATCTCTACAGAACATCTATTCAGAGTATACAAGAGAACTGGAAAAATAATTAACAATATTGCAACAATGCTGCAGGTATCTTAGCTTCCATCGCAGACACTGACTCTTCTACATCTAAAGGTTTATTACAGAGCAAATTAAAAAAAAAAAAAAAAAAAAATTT